TTGCCATTGGGACACAGGACGAATGTACATTTCAAGGCAAACCAGGCGTCCATAAATCACAAGTATAGTGGGATTTTCGTCGAGACAAAATACCTTTGACATTATTATTGTATATATATATATATATATATATATATATTCATTGTGAGTATGTTTCTAAGCTATCAGTAATTCTCGAATGAGTATTTATTCAGCAGAGGACGCCTAAGGTGACTAAAGGATTGACAGTGGAGTTAATTCCCGACGAATGAAAGTGGTCCTTGCTTTGCTTCCCAAATAGTTTTCCCATTCGGGCAAGACCGCAATGTAAATGTCGCCTGGTTCTCAGAAGCACGTATTCGGAGCAGGGTTGATGTGCATAGTGGAGAAACGGAACCACTCCGTTTCACAGCCACTGGGGCCAATGAGTCATAGGACAGCTGTGCTTTTAAAGGCAAATAAGGCCTATTTTAAGTCACACTTGTGGGTATTATAAAAGAAATGATGATAGTTTTGGAACATAGTCCTAACAACTAAATCTCATCGTCGATTTCAATGACAAAGTTTGCCTTACCGACAGTTCCACTTACAATGTTCTTGGCCATTGCTTGCTATACAATTTTTATGTGTAAAAGTAGGGAATCTATAAGATCAAGAAAATAGCCAACTCTCTGAATGGGAACAAGTGTAGGAAATTAAATATAAACTACTTTTGTCTGTTGGGCAAGATTAGGGAGAGCGAGAGAGGGGAGGGAACAATAAATGCCGTCAAGCAGTAGGAGGAGGCTTAATTAGCCTCGAATCTGCCTAGCGCTTTCACATTTCACACAACTCATGCGTATGACATGCACATTACAGCACACTTGCGATAGAACACAACTAAATGCGTCAACATTGTAGCATTTACGAGATTCTGGGGAGGATGTGGATGCTTGGTAATTTAGGGAAAACGTATATCATTTTTCGAGACTAACAGTAGATCATATATATATATATACGAAGTATGTAAGATTTCAATGGGCCACCCGTCTTATGTGTGTACATGAAGAATCATCACAAGACATGGTGTCGTGCTCCGAAGATGCCTATTACACGACAGACTAAAGCTCAGTACGGATTCATTGGAATCGAGAAACAGTGCGCCGAGGCCAAATATCCACAAATCTACAGTTAACAATCCTATTTTGGCTTCTGGTTCGGCCAATTTAAGAATCCCTTCCAAATGAACGGTAATCCAATATGTACCAAGTTGTTTTTTCAAGTACTACTGATGATGCATAAGCATGGCCACTTGGATTAGACTTGATACCTTTATAAATAAAAACAGGCTTTCGAAGAATCCTTCAGTGATCTAGCGCGATAAGATATTTAATTCCGAAGGAAAATAATTTATCAATTGGTTGCACCAAAAGCCAAAGGAACGACATAATTTAATACTCTTTACTCTAACGTTTCCGATGAGACCAATTCATGAATTCCTTTCAACCAATTTTTCCATCGAAATGACCGGTCAGCTTACACTAAGTCGCAAAAGGGTTCTTCGTATATAAACGGAGTAAATTCCATGTTAGCATGTTCGGAAATTACCCGTAGGAATTGAAAAAGAACTTAAGTCGTGTCGACGCAACTTAAGATGCTTTTGAAGAGACAGATTGAAAC